ACAGTTACAACTTGCTCCAAAGATTTAGCAAGAACCATAAGCTGGACGAAGGTAACATCCACAGTTATTCTTGCAACATACTGAAACCTACCCATGGTTCTCCTTATCAGGCGGTAACTGGTAAAATTTACTGCTTGTAAAAACACTTATTACTGCCTGCAAATGTTCAAAACCCTTAATTCAATTTCATAGTCATGTGATTCGTAGCTGACACTGCTGATTTTCCAGCAATATGCCATGTAAGTGATGCCAAAGATATCACCCTAAATTGAAGGGAGACCAGTTTACATTATAAGCAGTTTGGAAAGGGCATAGTCAAATATAATGCTTTAAAACAAAATTTTACTTTGTTTTGTTCAACCTCTGAACCTTAAGGTGTATCGTTCACATAACGAATTTTTTGATGGAGTATTTTTGATAGGTGTGATGTACTGTATGCTTTAGGAAATGACAAAGTTGAGAATGACCAGCTGCCTGAAGCTGTAAATGTGCTTTACTGGTTTGAAAAGGTCCCCTACCTGTTGTGCTGAAAACTAGGGAGAACCCTGCCAACCAATGATTGTTAACCCTTGATTTGAAACCTGGGGTCCCCTTTATATTGGGTATTATTTAAACAACTTTACAGTGCTGTTGATATTCATTTTGCAGAATGAAGCGTTTAGGTGCATATTTTAGCTTATCCCGTACATTCATCAGAGAATCTTCCCAGAGACTTTGGTATTATCTGAAGGAGAAAGCATCCCTTAAGGGCACAAACTATGTGGAATGTTATTTTCGGAAGGAAGAAACCAGCTGTACAGTAAGCTGTAGTGCTAGCTTCTCTACAGAACTCAAGAAAAGTATCATTTCTATGGACTTTTTGTTCAATATTTCAAGGCACCATGGTGGTTCAAAGGTAGGAACATCAATATCAATTTGTTTGATAAAAATTAATAAATTATTAGTTTTGTGTAATGCTTTTGTGAATGTTCATAATTTGGTTGTGATTTTTTCATACAGCTTAGTTGTGATTTTTCATGCGGTTCAGTTGTGATTTTGTTTTATAAATCCCTGGATTTGGAGCTTTGAAAGCCATTCCATTCTATTAAACATTAAACATGCTATGGGTGTTACAAGCATTGTGCATATCGTTAGCTTCTTGGGCAGGATCTTCCTTCCTTCCAGTTTTCTGCCCAAATCAATAATCCATCTTTTTTTTTTTATAAAAATATCTTGCTGCCAACAATTTTATGCAAACTTATAGTTTATAAACACAAAAGAAGGGACCTTTCAATAAATAAGTTTTTGTGGTGAAAATTTATTAGATCAAAGGTTATATTTTCGAATTAAAAGTACAGCACTCTAAGTGCTGTTAAGATGAATAGTTCTTAAATGAACAAAATGAATTATTCTGATAAACCTGAATCTTGTCATAGCTATCCTGGCCCCTGGAAAGTTTTTTCCCCTTTTACATTAATTGGCTGATAAACAAAACAATACGTTGCCTTGAGCTGAGAGTTTTTTTGCAGCTCTGTTTTTCAGGATGAAGATGAAGATTTTCTTTACTTAATTTTTTAAAATCTTATTGCAAATCATAAAAAAGTATATAGACTCAAATCACACATCAATCATAAGTTGGTGTATAAATTTTGTTTATTTTAGAGACTGCTCCGTGTGCATTGTTAGGTAGAATTTTTGGCAAAATGCATGTAATTTGCCAGCCGGCTATTCTAGAAGTTTGCTGAAATCATGGCATGCTTTTGTATTTCCATGTTCTTTAACCTTATTTTAGCCAGTCTAAATAACAATATTGTGGGAAGAAGTTGAAATTTTTATGTTGAGCTAAGATAAAAAGTTGCGTATTTCAGGTCATGGTGGTTGCATCAGAGTAGGTGTCAAACAAAAAAAATTTCAGTGGAAAAAAACTGTTTTAAAAACAAAACATATGTGCTTTGTTCTTGTAAAGGGTTGATCTAAATATGTGAAACAAAACAAAATCCTTAAACTATAAAATTTTGTGAGAAGACAAGCAATTTGTGCTATTTTTGATAATTGGTGTTGTTAAAAACAGGCATTTTAGCACTGAAGGTATTTTCACTTAAAAAAAAATTATTTTGCAATATTTGAAAAAACCAAAGCAGTTTCAATTACTTTTAGTCTAAGACTGGTCTGGGAAAAGTTTGAAAAAATCAATTTTTCAACCCAAAACGCACCCAACCGCTTTTGGAGAGACTGTCTTCTAATAAGCTTAAGGAATTGGATGCCTCCCAGATAGCAATCATTTGTAAATCATGTTGACTGACTAAGTTCATTTGATGCAATTAATTCCCTCTGGGTGACTCAGTGTAATCATTGTTCCATATAGGTGATTTACAAAGTGATTAGGACCCATCTCAATTTTTGATGGCTAAGCTCAAAATTTACCATCTTCCTTGTTACCAATAATCTGGTTACATGTATATTGGTTTTATGTATGTTAATGTTTTGACTTATCACATTAACCCCTGTAAGGAATCCAAAGTACAGCATCTGAACCAGCATGGACAGAGTACTGTAGATGTAATGAAAGCCAAAGAAATGTCAAGGATCAAAGCTGAAATAACAAAAAACATGTTTTCACCAATTGATTCTGATGCAATTCAGGCTACAGCTGGACGAGAGATGCAGGTATGTGCTGCAGTAACTTATTTAGTTCAGTTGGCTTATGACATCTAACTAACCTAACCTAAGGTGTTGACAAAACAAAAGTACTTAAAACATATGATTTATTTCTGTGGAGAGATTGTAACTAGATAGAGCAGAATCACCTAGAAAAGGGTTGGATGGGGTTATCTTCTACTTGACAGGTGATTGTTCTTGGAAATTGCCATCATCCTCTCAACTGATTAGATGGAAAATGAAAACCTGATTGACATCATTTCCCGACACTTGTCTTACTTTTTTTCTCCTCATCTGACATCAGCTTTTGGTGATAGTGATTTTTTTTCCTGATTGTCTGACACCATTGCTTTTGTTTTGATTTTTAGAAGACTCAGTGGAAATGTGCTCTATTTGTGCCAATATCTACAAGTGATAAACCTTGGTTATGGCTCTTTTTACTACATTTGCTGCATTTCCTTATGTTTTTGGGAATGGGGAAAGAGTGGTGTGAAAATAATTTAATAAATGAACCTGAGTTTATTGGAGGGGAAATGGGTAAGGGGCTTATTTTTGGTCATTACATTGTAGGTAAAACTTCTGCAGTCATTGGGACTGAAGTTTACACTGATGACAGATGGTAGCTTACCTATCAATTTGTTTAGCACAGCACAAGCCGTCCAACAGCCTGGCTCCTCTGAGGGCTTCTGATTCAACATGATTGACTGAAGTGTAACACCTTTGTTGTGTGTACAAGTCAATGCTTCAAATGCCATTCTGTCCGCTGAATTCAAACTGGTAGAACCACTTATAATAAAATTAAGTGAGGAAACAGAAATGCAGGAGATGGACACACATGACAAACTTGTGTGTGGTTCCTTTACAAAGTCAAAGTTAATCTTTGTTTTACACCGTGGTACTCTGACTTCGGTGGCTTGATCTCTGAAGTTCTTAACATGCCTCAAATAGTTTTCTGGGTATTCTAGTCAAGTTAGGAAAAAAAAAGGAAGAGGTTATAAGATAGTACAATAAGACAGTCTGGTATGATCCTCACTAATGTTAACTGTCCACAAACCTTTTGACTGTTGTTTCCTTGAAGGTTCCTCAGTGCATTGAATTCTCAATATTTGAGTTATTTGGTTACTCTGGGTAGATGAAGGGTGCTTAAAATCATTAAACAAACACAATTTAACAGAGCCAATTAATTGTGGCTAAAAAACCATTGAAGAGATTTCCATTTAGAGCACTTCTTTTTCTCTGGATTCCATTGTGAATTAAAATTAATGTTACTTATTCCTCATAGTAATGATTAAAATTGTCACTAATCTTTGGCACAAAAGATATGTTTGTTTATTTCCAACTTGCAGTGCTGTGGAGATTTAAGCGGGCTTGCTTCATGTTAGCAAAAATTTCAACATCACTGTCCCCTTCACAATCTAACCCCAAGCTTTAAGTAGAGTGGAAGGGAACTATTCCTGTTACAGAGTGAAAAACTTTGGAGGATGATAAGTTTCAAAGGCTGCTTTTTGTCAATGTAACTTGTATTTTGAATTGCAATGCTCTCTTGGGGTGTCTCTTCATTGTATGCTTCACTAAGTTGAGAGGTGGTGCCTAATCAAGTGTACAGTTGTGGTAAATCTTTCCAAACAGAACAGAAACAGAACTCCAATGTCACCCAATTCTTTTTTAATTACTCAGTGCCAGACTACTACTATTTAACAGTAATAGTAACCTATGAGGAAACCTTCACAGAATTGTGTTCTTATTTTATATACAAAATCTATTCATAACAGAGGTCATAACAAATTATTTTGCCTACAACTGTAAGACCACTCTTGTAATTAATTGAACATCTTGGATAACTACAAAAATGTTCTAACTAGTGAGTGTAAATACAAAGGAAACATTTCTTCACTTAAGAAAAACTCACTAGTCCTTGTAATAGGAGTTGAAAGGTGTTTTAGAGGAATTCTGTAGCTCTTTCTATAACTGGATGGTCTTTGATGGTCTGATGATTACTGACCATCTCACAACATAAGTTGTCGTTCACCTTCACCTTCACTAAGCATGGTGCTGAGTGGCCTTGCTTTTGGCCACCCTACTGAGCCAGCACATTCTTTCTCTTGACTCCTTTCCTAAACAGCAGCTAGTTATTGTGCTGCTTACTAGAATAATGTAGTGCTCATTGTCTATTGACAGTGGGTGCAGATTACATTTGTCTTATCTACTCCTCAACAGTCTGACTTAACACAACATGCTCAGACAACCAAAAGTGATGGGAACAATACTTCTGTGAAGGTCTCCTCCCACATTTCACACCCTAACATTTCAGGTTCCGCATTTAGGTCTTTGAACTCCTTGGAGAAATCTTTCAGGTTCCAGAGATCATCCAAAGAGTCCAAAGACTCGCATTCCATTCCAACTAAGTCTGCTACTGTTATGTCACTGCTGCTTGATTCTGGGACTGTGCCATCTGTGGTTCTGACTTCCTCTTTTGCATCTGGGTTGGTGTTGAGTTGACAGCAGGTTGGGGCTGCTGTGGCTTCTTGTTTGGGCTGAATAAGTGTGAGGCAGTCTCCTTCCCCATCAAGTTCAAAAAGGCCAAAATCCATGTCATGCTGAAAAGACACCAAATCATGGGTTAAAATCATGCCTATCAAAGGTTATTTTTATCATGCTTATGATACACATACCATCTCCTTGTTTTTTTAATTCAACCTCCCATACTCTTGACCCATTCACTCCCAAGATCTCTTTAGTAATTATACTTACTGTCTGCCAGAAAATATTTATAGGTTTGGTTTTGATAATTAAGTGTTGAAACAAATGACAACCCCCTAATTGATATCATTTCATATTCCCGTTTCTTGTCTGTTTGATGTTGTATTGATGTTGTGAGGAGAAAGTATTTTTTGGTGATTCTTGGGAGTGAAAGGGTAGAAGAGCATCTAGAAAGCCATTCATAATGAAAAAAAATTTGGTGTAAAAAATTTACAGAATTACTGATAATAAATTCAAACAGCTGAACAGACATAATCAAATCCCACCAGTGATGGACCAGCTGTTCTCCTCATCAACAAAAATCCATTACATGACCAGCGTTACCTAGTAACGTCAAATGAGGATATTGCCACATTTCTAAGTTAAAGTGAATTTTCAGTGGATAACAACTAAGTAATAAAAAGTTCAGCACCTCAGACATTATCCCACTAATTTCTCTATCAAGTCTTTCACTCTCTTGAGGTTTAAGAATAAATTTTACCCACAAAATCAAAAAAATATCACCATTACCTGTTGTTGATCATCATCCAAGTCGTGATCAGAGAAAGAAACAGAATCAGGCGTTCCTGCTGCTGAGAAACTGAGAGTGATGCATACTCGTTATATTCTGCTTCTTTCTTGATCACAACTGGACTGTATTTAGTATCTGGACTGGCTTCTGAGGTTGGTGGGTAATTTGTAGACACTGGAGCTGGTGACACGGGGGGTGTAAGACCAAGTCGGACTCTTAACTCCGAGTTTTCGATTGTTACAGCTTCCGAGTGTTTCCTCAAACTTTCATTATCCAAGCGAAGGGTTCTGTTCTGTAAGAACACAAAGAATAGAGATTGGGCGGTCTTAAAACACAACAAGGCATTGTATTGAGGAATAACTACGTTACTGGTCTTGGTGTATCATTGCACAATCATATAAACAAAACTTTTGGTACATTTCCTTTGTAATTTCCGCCTACCCGGAGTGGATGACGCATTAAAAAAAATCTAATATTGGAAAAATATACCGAGTTCAAAAGATTTATTATTAGTTACGATCAATAATGATCTCGAGAGGGGCCAACATCGAGAAGCATTACGCTTCCATTTTGAGATAATTTTAGTGGCGAAAGACATAAAAACAACTCATTCAACGAAAGTCTTTCAACGACAACTTAAACAAAAACGAAACACTGATTCGAAACTAAAAACTCAAAACCGCTTGCGATGAAACAGGGCAGAATGAAAACAGTTCTACTCACACAACTAACGAAGGAAGTGTATCAAAACGTTTCTCAGTTGAAATTCGAGTGAATTTCTATCAATCGCGAGAAATTATCTGTTTATCGCTAAGTCAGGCTAATAAATTTTAAGATTAAAAATAGGAAAGACTTGGGAAGATTTTTTTTTACTATTACCTCTTTCTCTAAATGCGCAACCAGTTCTTCTAGTTCTGTCATTCGAGCCTTCTTTCTGTCACGAGCAGTTTGAGCTGCGACTCGGTTCTTCAGTTTTCTAGATAACACAAAAATGAAATTTCAGTGACCCTACACAAAAACAGAAACCTTATTCGAGATACATCGCACTTGATAGAAGGTTCGATTCACTGCTTCGTTCACAAAGGATCGCCCACCTTCGAAGAGCCCTTTCTTCGGCAGATAAATTGTCAAGTCTTTTTCTCTTTCTAGGCTGGCCATCTGTGGTTGAATTGTTCAGGACAAGTGATTTTAAGACGGCTTCTCTGTCGATGCTTTTCGATTCCATTTTACCTTCAACGACTAATTCAAAGGTAAGTCACTTCTCCAGAAAACTAATAACTAAGGCCTTTTGTGTACAATTACGAACAAGGAAATTTTACGGAAAGTTTCATCAGACATCCCAAATATGGTAAGCCTGTTTCCCAAAATAGAATAAATATGTAAGGGTCAGCCAATCAAAAGGCGCCACGAACTCACTTTCACTAAGAGCTTCATCAAAGGAGGAATGGTATGCCCTTACAGCGATCTTCCTTCGCGGATGTTTTTGTTCTAAATATATTTTTAGATATTCGAGAGAAAAATATGGTCATGGGATTTTAATTTAAAATCAATCTAGTAAATTCTTCAAAGACATTATATGGTCTTTACGAAGTAAGTTAACATATAGGTTGCTGAAATTTACGTTAGTTTATCTAATTAAAGCGTCAATGTCCTTGAAGTACGATGGCTTAGAAGAGACATCGACTTCCGAGACCTTTTTTTCCCAATCGTATTTTCCCTTTGCGAATTTTTTATTTCACTTCCGCGAATTCTCCAAAATAAGTCGTTATTCCTTCCAGGCCATCGTGCTTGGCTTCCTCAAAGGCTCCTCAAGTCTTGGAAGATAAGGGTCCCCGGTACCCCCCTCCCTCGCGCCTCGCCACATTTCTTTCCCTCCCCTACCCCTAAGAGTATATGATCCTTACCTACCATGACTCCCTAATTTTTAGAATTCTCATTGGACAAATACATTGACCAATCAAAATTAATGATACAAAATACAAATGCTGAACGGAAGGAGTCCATGTTATTGTTGAGAAAATCATATTCGCCTTCAAGCAAGGTTTCTCCGTTTTCGTTGCAACAGAGAAGACATGTCGTTTAAAGGTAACTTATCTTTTTTCTCCGATATTTTAGGATCCAACTATAAGAGCTGAATAGAATCTTTTTGGAATGCTAACATGTGTGAGTTTCAACTGTGTGCAGCTGTGAAGAGATGAATACGAGGAGTGCTGTAGCCGGTTTTGGAAATTAAATGAATCGGCGTAAAACGAGTTTATGGACCGTTATCGATCAACAGTGTGTGAAAAATATTGTCGATTCCTTTCTAACTCGCAAAACTGTTGTAGCATCAAAGGTAAATAAAGAAATATCAATTTGCAATTTAAGATAACATTAAGGATTGTGGTGGAATGTTTCTTCTTTGGCATTTGGCAAGCTCAGTCTATGTGGGAAAAATCAACTGGATCTCGGTACAAACAGGCCAGACTTAATAAACAACTGCTGTGTGGACAGCATTTTTAATTTCAATCAATCAGAGACATGCCTGCCACAAGAGCAGCATTGATTGAGCCTACAAACTAACTTAAGAAAAAGTATGTAACCTAAATCCGAAAGAACCAGCACTTGCACCCACAAATAAGACTTACATTTTACCATCGTTGACTTAAAAATTCAAGGCAATGCAACAATTTTGAAAAGTTGTGTTTCATCTGGTTAACTCTCTGGATACAAAATTTGTTCATTCTAGGTAGTAAGAAAGGTTCTGAGAAAGTTCAAACAGAGACAGTGAGCAGTGAACTACTAGAAGAATCCAGTAAACGTAAATCAGTGGTTGCTGGTGTTCAGGTAATAGTGAGCATAGTTATTGAAAATGGTTTGAACATATTTCATAATATCTAAACCAAAAT